CTCTCTGAAAAGCTCCTGAGGAGATACTTTGGGCCATATCTAGTACTGCGACGACTGAGTGATGTTACCTACGAGGTCCTCCCCGACACTTCATATAGTACGAGGCTTCGCCAGCACCGTCCCGAACTAGTTCACGTTGTGCGCATGAAGCCTTATGAAAGGTAGTGACTGCGCAAGACACTTCTTAAAGAACAGGCAAAAAAAAAAACTGCGCTACTGGTTTAGCATCGGGGCGATGCTCATTAAGAAGGGGGTAAATGACGCGTGTGTACTGGTGGACCAAAACGACAATAAGGGGATTTGGCGGACACCAGGTAGTGGAGCTCTGGCTGATTGAAGATAAAGAAGGCGATCTTGCTGTTCGGCTGCTGAGAGTCGCTGTGTCAACGTTCATCTGCCTTTGGTTCGCGCTGCACCGCGACAATATAGCTGCTTTCCGCTGGCCTCGCGCAGGAGCCATGGTGGTAAAGGCAGCGGGGCTTCTTCGACGACGGCCGAGAGCAGAGCACAGCCAGATGGTCTGACGTCAGTGGGTCAATGACCCCCCAGCACCTCCAGCGTCCGCATCGATGGGGGGAAGCCATGACGCACTCTTCGCGGGCTCGCACTGAAGCGTCACGCACCTACACACGCACACACACCGCCGACGGCTGCGCGAGCGTAGGCGCAAAGTGTCCTTCGTCTCTCTCCCCCGGCAAGCACCGACACTCAAGGTCACACACAGCTCCCTTCGCGGTAGACGAAACGAACACAAAAAAAAAGTAAACACAGAGCATACTGACACTAAACATCTGGCAAAAAAAACAAAATACAAATAACGCTTAATATTAGACAAAAGAAACATAAAATACACATGAACACTTAAAAAAAAAAAAAAAACACTGGCAGCAGACAGGGCAGGGTCAACTCCTTTACGAGAAAAGGCCGTAAAGAAGCTAACCTATACTGAGGCTAGACAGTAAACTGAGGGCCTTCGGTTGCGGAGAAGTCCGCCGTCCGGCGCGAAATCACAAAGGTGACCGCTTCCTCAGATTATACCGGCGCGGGGTCCGAATGCGGTCCGTCGCTCCGGGTGTGCCCGTTGCTTGCGCGAAGTGCCGCAGGGCACTGGCGCGAGCTCGTCAGACCGTGACAAAGGGCTTCAGGTCTGCGATGTGGGCACGGCTGAGTTTTCCCAAAGGGGATCTTTCAGCTAGTACGCGCCACGGACGCTCACTGACAATCGGTTCATAAGACCGGGCGGCTTTCCAACCTTTGGCTCAACCGTTTGTCAGACGTGGCAGGCACGGAATAGCGATAAAAGCCACGCTTCGTGCCGGGCCAGGTCACAACATTGCTCAGTTTGCAAAAACTTTCGAGCCACTCAGGTGACCGGCCATGGGTTCGTCGTGAGAGGATCGCAACAGTGCGGCTCTCAGACTTTTGGGCATAACCACCTTAAACGGGTCTATGGACTCATCGTCAGTGGATATATATTTCAGCAGGAGCCCGTCATGGTCCAGCAAAATGAATCCGCCGGGGACTCAGCGACACACGCTGTTTCAGCCCCCTTATCGCGCCCGCCACAGAACAAGCAGCGTAACGGCGCTCCGCGCCTCGTCAAGACGGTTTAACGGCGCCCGCCGCAAAGCAAGCAGCGTATACGGCGCTCCGCCCCTCCGAGACTCGAAACGGATCACTCTGCTGAGCCTTCAGTAGCTCTTCGCTGCCGAAAGCAATTCCCATTCTCCCAAATGGGGGAGTCTGGTATCGCGCCCATTCAGGACCGCAGCAACCGCCGCGTGAGTCGGCGTTACGGGTTCACTCTCGGCCTCGTGGCCTTCGGAAAGCTCCCCCGCTCGGCCGCTTCGCGGTGCGCCGCTTACCTGGTTAGCAGCCAAGGTTTGTCCGCATGGGGACTCACCCTTCTCGCCGAATGGCGGCGAAGCTGCTATTTTGCCCCCGACGCTTGCATGTGCTAAGGCACCGCGAGCGGCCGTCGCACCGAAATCCAGGTTCTCGGCAGACAACAGGGGGCACGAGATAGCGCGTCAGCTACCACGTAGGAGTGTATTCACCACAAAAAGGGGTGACGACACAGGCGAGCGCCGAAGGGCGCCCGTCGATAGAGGCGGTGGCCTCTTGGTGCAACGCGGCATGCCACGAAGCAGACATAGCGTTCGGGTAGGGCAAGAGGCCCATTCCGAAGCGACGCGCCATCTCCAAAGGGAGCGGCTAGGCGCCTCGTGTCGTCACCGCAATAGGGGGTGCCGACACAGACGGGTGCAGAAGGGTTCCCGTCAATAGAGGCAATGGCCTCCGTATGCAACGCGGCATCCGCTAAAAAGGGACAGCGGACAAAAGTCCCGCAAAGCAGCCATGTTGCGACGAGCCCGAATCGCGCAGGCGAACTGACTCGCTAAGAGCAATCAAAAGCTAGAGCTTTTGATACCGCGTTGGGCGCCAGTGTGGTGTACACGTATCCCGAAGGTGTACGCCCACCAGCGTGGGTCCGGTCTTAGCGAGCCGCAGGGCACGCGTTAACCGTCGCCGTGGCGGGAAACACGATACTGCTCAAGTCGCAACACTTTATTGTGGCAACACCAAACGCAGTACAGCCCGTTGCAAATAGGCGCGGCGGGAAAGCAAGTAGGCTTATCCACGCCACGGGCACAAAGTACTACACAGGGGTGCCACGAGCACGTCTCCGCGGTAAAGGTGATCCACGGAGACACCGGGACAAAGGGCCCGGTTGCTCGAGCGAGGGCAAAGGCGCTCGCGTTGGCTTCGAAGGGAGACGGGTCGGCGTAGCTAGGCCACGCACTAGGACACCGTACTGCCCTTCGGCCGTGAGTACGCAGCGGGGCAACAAAAGGTGAGCGTTCGCATCGGGCGCGAGGCGCCGTCAGCGAAGTCCGACGAGCCCCGAGCGACGGAACTCGACGGACGGAAAAGAATGCGTGGCTCACCGTTTGAAGTCCCGGACTGTACTCCCCGCTCCCGACGCAGCGCGCGAAAACCTCTCGGGAGGCTCCCCGCGCGCGGCGCCACAGTCAACATCCGCTACCGGGTGAGGGAGTTAAACGTCACTCCGCCCTTCCCAGCGCGGCTGACGGCAAAGGAGGGCAGACATGTCGGGACATGAGAATGGCAGAAAAGGCGGGAAAGCCCGCGCAAAGGCAGCGGGCCAGCCTCAATTCCCACAACGTACAGATAAATAATTTAAAGCACGCTAGAGGTGAGCAATCCAACTTAACCGTCACACAAACGTGTTCAACGTGCAAGAAAAAAAGAAAAGGCAAATCCATGGGTTGCCCGTTGCTGATAAGAGTAGAGATGCGCTGCCTTTCCTTTTGGTTGTTTAAACCACCATGTGTGTGCGTTTTTTTTTTGGGGGGGGGGGGGGTGTTTTCTATATGTACTACCCATGGACGAAGTTTTGAATCTCAGAGGCCGCAATTCAAACCCCAAGGTTGTTTAGGTGTGCCATCGATTTGACCGACAGAATCCGCTGCTGCTTCCCCGTCGTGACTCGACCGCGGTCGGGCATTCGAATTAACCGAAGCGCGGGCGAATTTGTCCGACTTAATGAGAGTTTTCAGTCGTAGGACAATGTACATTTTGGACGGGACCAGATGTCGTGGCCTAATTAACGGGGGTTGAATTAACGAGATTTTACTGCATTGCAATATGCTGGCTGTTCTATTGTGTTGATCAAGGTCGCAGTTCCTGTACATACATTAGCACACTTGTGTGCACGTATTTGGGTGCATATAAGAGGACAAAAACCTTATGGGTTGTCATTTAGGCCTGCCCAACAACAAAAAATTTTTTTTGCCATCTTTCTTTCGTAATGTAGCGTTGCAGTAAAGTTTGCAATAATGGTGTAGACTAGTATTTTCAATTTTTGAGCCACGTACGTGAAGTTTAAAGGATGTGAAGTCCGTGCATGAGGTTCATACAAAGAAACTGCACATTATAGTATTAAAAAGTCCACTACTAACGGAATAGTGTGGAACACTTTTTTGTTCTTTATGTATAATCATGCTTGCTCTTGCTTCGCAGTGAATCTTATGGAACGAGAGCAGGCAGAAGAAATGTTTGTTTGTGATCAGTTCAGAATTCAGCCTGAGTGTCATAGGAAAGTAACTGATTTTAGGTGCTCCCCCCCCCCCCCCTTTTTACCATTCATATGTCTTTAGACGTCTTAGACATGTCTTTAGACGCAAGATGCCACCTTTCTTGCATCTTGTAGTGTTGCAGTAAAGTTTGCAGCAACAGTGTAGACTAAGAATTTAAAATTTTTGAGCAACATACGCGATGTCCTTAAACATCTTGCCTTCCACTTGTGTTAAAAGGGTATTGACACAAAAAAACTGTGGCATCGTTCTTCTGCTGCAATGTGTTGCTGGGGGCCTGTCAGTCATGAAACGACACATTGCTTGTTGCAAGCACGTGACAGATAATTAACTGCTGGACCCTCATTATCAACCAGTTTTAGTTTCGATTTGAGAGAGCTCCAAAAATCAGGGTGCAACTATCGCCACCTAGCGTGTGCCGCTCTTGACCAAGTCAGCACACAGAACTGCGACACACTTCCGCATGAAACAGGACTGCAGTGTCACCAAACACACAACTTTTAAAGCGTGAGCCATGGCCACGCACTCGCAACCAGTGCCGAGAAGTATAGACTGCATGAACAAACGCGGCAAAGGAAAAATGGCGGCTATGACGTCATCATACCTTGTTTTATTGACTGTCTCCTTCAAAGGTGTCAACAGCATGATGGTGTCAATGGCTCATGCATACTTCAAAATTAATTTAAAGTACCTTCCAAGCTATACTCGCTGTTGATATATTGCAGATGATACACGAATGTTCAGACAAATCGACCTCGCAGGCTAACTCGGCTGCGAAATTTCGTGTCAGTACCCTTTAAAGCTCTGTTGTTTTACCAATGCACAGATGCCAAATGTAGTTACCTCGGTTTTTTTATCCCATGGTTCAACCTCCCGTTGCAGTTTGCTGGGTTTCGACAAGCTGCTTGCTTTTGCGCTCAACGAATGGCTCAACGACATCAAGAAGAACCAAGTGCCAAGCGTGCTCGGCGGAGTTGGGCCCATGCATTCATTTGTGCAACTCTGTGAGTGATGCGTTTCCTTGCTTTTAGCTGGCTCCTTCATGAGGTGTAACTTGTACGGTGCAAATAGGCGAAAGGCAGTAACTATGCAACATCTAGTGACTAGATGCAACAAAGTCGCTAATAAGGAACGCCGAGCTAGTTGGTATGAACGCATTGTGGAATAGCACAAATGATGTCATCTGACTTGCTTGTGTCCATGTCTGTTTTTTGCACTAGTCCACTATGCAAAGTCAATAAAATTGGCAGCAAACATTGTTTACACTCAAACCTTAATGAAATAAACCGCATATAATAAAATATCGGTTATAACGGAGTAAGTGAAAAAGTGTTACAATAGTTATGGTGTTTGGAATGAACCTTTATGACAAACATTCGGATTTAACGAACTTATTTTCGTGTAAAGTACAACTGTGTTATAGTATGAGTTTTGAGTTATTGAAATTTGCCCCACCGCGGTGGTCTAGTGGCTAAGGTACTTGGCTGCTGACCCACAGGTCGCGGGATCGAATCCCGGCTGCGGCGGCTGCAATTCCGATGGAGGTGGAAATGTTGTAGGCTCATGTGCCCAGATTTGGGTGCACGTTAAAGAATCCCAAGTAATCGAAATTTCCAGAGCCCTTCACTAACGGCGTCTCTCATAATCATATGGTGGTTTTGGGACGTTAAACCCCACATATCAATCCAATCAATCAATTGAGTTATTGAAATTTTATTCAAATGAAATTCAGTGTTTTAAAGGGGTACTCGCACAAAATTTTTCAGTTGTAATTTCTTTGTGTGAAATGACGCAACAGAGTCTACAAAGCCTGTACAGTAGACTCGCAGTAAACGGAACCTGAAGGGACCGGGAAAATGTGTTCCATTTAACAGGAGTTCCGTTTACTGAGAGGTGAATATGGGTGCGGAATACAAGCCGAAACCAAGTATTACAGAGGCAGTAGTTCCGTTTAAGCAGTAGTTGCATTTAACAGATGTCTGTTTACTGAGAGTCTACTGTACTTCTAGGCATGAGTACACCCAGAAAAATTGATTGCAGCATGTTCACAACTACAGTCAAATCTCGATGATTCGAATTCGAAGGGGTCAGAAAAATTGTTCAAATTAAAAGAAGTTCGAATTAATAAAAGCTAAATGAATGGAGGGCTCACTATGCAGTGGTGCACGTGTATTGAGCTAACACACGAGGGGCAAGTTTCTGAAAACTTAGTTATTCACAAATCACAGGACATCCGTCATTATTTGAAGTAATCGGTGATGCATGTCTGCACATCTTTGCTTTGGAGCCAGTCAATTTCGCACGCAGCTTGCAAAGCATTTCTACTTCAGCTTCAGCATTTTCCTGGCAAAAGAAGTTGTGCGCGGCAATGTCGAGCACCGACATTCTCCAAAGATGACGACAACAACGACTGCGTCTCCACTACGCAGCCGCAGCACGGCCAGCACGTGATGAGAAAGGAGGAGCGTCTCCATGCGGAGAGAAAGCAGATCGGCATTTGAGAGAGGACCAACACTCCACGGCAACTTTTATTTTATTTTGCTCTCTTTGCGCATGTGGTTGGAAGAAAGGTTTACGTGGTAGCCACGGAAAAGAGGGAAGCGCGGCACCGACGTGTTAGAGAGAGCCAACACTCCGCGACAGCTTTCTTTTCTTCTCTCCCTTCACACGCAGCGTTGAAAATAAAGGGATCTTTACGTGGCAGGGAGGGAAAAGGGAGAAGCGTGGCACAGGCATTTGAGAGAGAGCAAACATTCCACCTGCAGTCCTTTTCGTTGCTTTTCTTTTTCCTTCGCGCACAGCATTGAGTTATCAAAAGTGCCGCCTGCGAGATTAGGCACGGTGCTGAGAGCATTTCCGGAGTGCGTTAATGTTTGAATAACTGTCGCAAGTGCTTGCACATTCGAAATTACAGGGCGTATTTGCCCATCAGAATACACTTTTGACGGGACCTCAGCGTAAGTTTGAATAATGAGATTGTACAACTACAACAGTACGAACCGTAACAGACAGTTTTAGTTCCTACTGTACGTTGACGTAACAGCGTGGTATGAGCCTTCTTTCCTGTGCTTGCACAAGATATCAGGACATTTCCATGGCTGCTCAGTTGCATGGGTGATGAGCGAGCAGCCATTTTCGGTGTTTGTGATGATGCACAAGTGGCCATATTAAAAGCTTTGCTACTTTACGACATAGCAACTAGCCATACTAGCTGTGTGGAGTCACGAGATTAAGTACTGTAGCCTGGTGACACACCACTGTTGATGTCAGTGGGTGCACTGTGTAAAATTTTAGTCTAAAATAAAAATAATGTGTCTTATCAGCTTTTACTTAGCTCCTAACATGCCCAGAACCATTTCTGTACTCAGAGGATTCATGTGACACAGTAAACTCTCCTTTGAAAATTGGCGTCAGTATTCATTTAAGCAAAGTACGGTCACTAAAGGCTGCTTTTGTGTGAGATGTGCCGGAAGAATTTTTGGGTGATTGGCAGTCAGAAAACTAATATGAAATATATTTTTTTTACTCTGAAAGAAAAAATAAAATAAATCTTGAACCCTAAATCCCGCAATAATGCGCGCCCGATTCGTGCAGTCAGTGGCCTGCGGGACCTGGTGTGGATGCCCGTGGAACAGTACCGGCGGGACGGCCGCATCGTGCGGGGCCTGCAGCGTGGAGCCAACTCCTTCACCATCTCGACAGCCATGGCCTGCCTCGAGCTGACCAATAAGCTCGTCCAGACCGTGCAGGTCAGCGCCTCCGAGTCTTGCTGCTTTGCTCACTCACTTGCTGTGAGGCCCTAGTTGTGCTCGTAAAAAATTTAAAATGGGGGGGGGGGTTCTTTACTCACAAAGTAACGTGTGATGCCATAGCGTAACACTGAATCTTCAAGTGTCATTTCTTGGCCACTACCAAGAGGATGAGCATTGCGCAAATCACTCAAGCATGACGGCATCTGGTCGATCAGGCGCCATGCATTCATGGCGTAGTGGTTGCAGTTTTGGGCTTCTCTGTTAGATGTCTCGTTTCCATGGAAATGCCTTTTCATGCCTAGCGATCTGTGTGTTTCTCCTAATTTCTAGCCTTCTATATTTAAGTTTTTTTTCTTACGTTATATTAGTGGGTACTGATATCGCAGATCAATAGCCCTTGCAGGCAGTTCGCTTATGATTAGTCTTCTAATTATTATTATTTTATAATTGTCATCATGCATATGGGAGAGGAAAGTAAAAAAAAAGGTAATGGTCACAAGAATTTATATTCGTGATTGTGCAGTCAGTACCAGATGGCAACTTTTTTTTTTTTTTCCAATTTTGTATACTATATTTTGTTTGCTGAACTGGGATGATACAATGCCTAACTTATTTTAAACTCACAATTGTACTTAAGCTTAGCGCTGTGGAAGCTTTTTCGGGTGCCATTTTTACATACCCCATTTTATATGTATCATGCTATGCTAGCAACATAGCATGCAAGACCAGCTAGACGTCTTGCATTAAATTAGCTGGAAAAACCTTGTTAATTTGAAGTCACTGGGACCGTGAGAAATCTTCAAATTAAGCAGGTTTTCGAACTTACGAAACATACAAAAGGTGGGATGCAAGAAACTTGAAATTATTCGAAGTAATCAGGACTGGTCGTTTGCTGTGCCAGCTAGTTTGCTGCACCAAGGGTTATGTTTCCCAGCAACACCAGGTCAAAATTTTGCCACAAACAAGGGGGAATGCTGGGCCTTGTCGTTGCCGCCGGAAATAGAGAGAGGGAAAAACTGTTGACGTAATCAGCTGTAGCAGCGCACCTGCAAAAAACAAGTAATCAGGACTGGTCGTTTGCTGTGCCAGCTAGTTTGCGACACCAAGGGTTATGATTTTCAGCAACACCAGGTCAAAATTTTGCCGCAAACAAGGGGAAATCTAGGCCTTGCCGTTTCCGACGAAAAGAGAGAGAGAGAAAGAGAGAGAGAGAGGAAAAAATTGTTGACGTAATCAACTGTAGTGCGCACCTGCAAAAAACAAGACATCTTCACTGCAACACAGCAGTGACACGCAGGTGGCATATCGCCTGCTCCTCGCTGTGTCAGCACGTTATGATGTGACCATTTGCCCATTCTTTCTGTAAAAATAAAGGATTCAATAATGAACAGTGTGATGAAATTCGCAATGTGTTCTGGAAGAAAAACATGATTATTTAAGCTTTCGAGCAGAGTTTTTTGAAGTAGTCACTGCTGGTAAAAACTCTACTGTAGTTTTTCTATAATTTTATTTATTGTGTTAGAAGTAGTGAGACTGGGGTGTTTCAGCTGCCAGTCATTAGTATTGGTGCAGTACACTGCCTGGTGGCTTTTAACGGCTGTCGTTTCCGCAATTTTGCGAAGGCATTGAGATCTGGAATTGGCACCCTGATCCCAAAGTTTTTGAATTAACCTGGATGGTGCTGACCGCCGTTTTCATCTACCGTAATTACTCGAATCTAACGCGCACCTTTTTTCCGGTTAAGCGAGTTTATAAATTGCATGCGCGTTAGAATTGAGTACGAACAAAAAAATTACGGTCAATCTATTGCCATCGGCAAATCCAAAATGGCCGCCCCCTACGTGCGTCGGCATGGCGCGTCGGCCATTTCTGCCTATGTGTTTCCCATGTGCGGCACTTCGTACGTGTGCTGAGGAGTTCGTCATCTAGTAGTGCATTAGCATCGACGGCGTGGAAGGGCCGACTCCAAAAACTCGATAGCACCACGATGCCGCTTTTAAAAGAAAAGTTATGGCGTGTGCAGAAACGGACGGAAATCGGGCCGCATCGCGGTCGTTCGGAGTTCCCGAAACGTGCGTGCGGGACCGGCGGAAACAAAAGCAGAAGATTCTCGACAGAAAAGCTTCACACAAAGGCTTCAGTGGACCACAGCAGGGTCGGTTTCCGCAAATTAAAGAGCTGCTCGGCAAGTATGTGCTTGAGCAGCGAGCGGCACAGCGGCCCGTGACGACAGAACTGCTCCAAGTGCGGACTATGCAATTAGTCTTGGAAAAAGGTCTAATGCAGAGCCAGTTTAAAGCGAGCAGGTGCTGGCTAACTTTATTTAGAGGAAAGGCTTTTCCCTCCGAAGGGGAACATGCATATGCGAAAAGTTTTGCGGAGGAGTACGATGAAAAGCTTCACAGTTTTCAGAGGTTCGTCCTAAACTTGCGGCGCAACAACGGCTACCTGCTTGGGCAAATCGGGAATGCCCATCAGACGCCTCTTTACTTCGACATGCCTGGCACCACAACCGTCGAGAAGAAGGGGGCGAAGCAAGTTCGCGTGCTGACATCGGTCCACGGTAAAACTACCGTGACGGAAAGCTCTGTTACACGTCAGATGGGCACAAGCTTCGCCCGTACCTCATATTTAAATAGAATACGCTCCCGAAAGGAGTAGTTTTTTCGAGTGGTGTGATCGTGCGGGCCGGCGAGAAAAATGGGTGCGCGTTGCAATTGATGTCTTACGTTTTTTGTTTTTTTTCGCGGTGGAAATCGGGTGCGCGTTACAATCGAGGGCGCGGTAGAATCGAGTAAATACGGTATCTGCATAAAATTACATTGGAAAATACGGGACCATCGAAATACTTCGAATTAACAGAATTTCAAATTGACTGGGTTCGAATTAATGAGGTTTTACTGTAGTTTGTTTTAATCAGACAGAACTGTTTTTTTGTTATTTAGCTTGAGTTAACAATAAGCATGTCTTGTGCCTGAAAAATAAGCAAAATCTCTTTAATACATTGTTCTAGATTCATTAGCCATTCGTCTTTTTTCATTTGTAGCCCATCATGGCACCTCACATGCAGGACTGAGGCAATGAAAGAAGACCAGTAGACAAAGCAATTTGTACATTTCAATGACCGAGTGCTGCATAGCGTCTAAAGCGTTGCACACTATTGACTAATCAAACTCTTAAATCATTGCAGGGTGTCGCCGAGCTGGCGTACGACATGCTGTCACCAGGTCCTAGCATGCACATAGAGGCTCAGAACCGACGCCACCGTGCCATCCCCAACAAACTTCCTGTCGACATTCGAGACGGCGTCAACAATGCCTACCAAGTGGTTGCCGAGGTCAGTGCTCTTTCATGTGTTATTGTAGGCCACTTATAATTTAACCGCTTATAGTGCGGGACTGGTTGCAATGTGGTCTTCTTCGACTTCTGTTCGCCCTCCCATAGAACCTCATGTATATGCACACTGCTTATCGTGCAGTCCCCCAAATGAAAGAACGGTTATACTAACGTAGTTGTCGGAAAATTGGTTGATTGATTGATATGTGGGGTTTAACGTCCCAGTCGGAAAATTGGTGACGAACAGGGTAGTGAGTGCGCATCTCAAAGGAGACTGCGTGCGCCGCTGGGAAGTGAGCCACAAGGTCGTTACAATGGAGAAGAAGATGCAGAGTGAACAAATGAAAGACGTAGGGAGGAAAAAGGAAAGGGAAAAGGAAAGGGAAAAGGAAAGGGCAAAGGGTCTGTTGCTGTGGTTCTCTGAATTGCTTCAGGTGCCTCTGGAAAGTTCTGTGGTGCAGGCCACGGTGGGAAACATTCATAGTTGCCCAAAAGTCGTTGAGGGCTGTCTGTCCCTTCCCTATTTGTTTCATGGCCGTAATGGCTCTTATATTCACGTCGAAGGCCCTTGACTCGTTCTGACCAGCAGAGCTCCACGAACTTGAAACTATTCCACAATGTGGACATACCAGCTCAAGCTTCGTGGCAAGTCCAAGCTGGGTGCCTCCTTGAACTTTCATCCCGGTCGCGAGGCAGCGCGGGCACGGGGTCTTGGACAGCATGTCGCTAAGGGCATCCCCTTGCACGAGGAAATATCTCTCGCCTTCGGTCGTAGCGGTGGCAGCTTCGGGTTCAGGCATCATCGCTTGAAACTTCCTCTCGGTCGCTGGCATAGCGCCAAGCTTTCGTTGCACAGCAGCACGTTCTCTCTCCGCCGTCGCCAACTCCTCGCACGTCCGAAAACGTGTTTGGAAGTGCACAGTCGACGACGCGGTCTCACTGTTCGGGGCCGGAATCAATGCGGTTGGCGAGCGCGACACACCAGGCGCACTTGAGCACGAAACACCAGCCTCACTCGTCACGACGGATCCTTGTGCCGATGGTGTAGAAGTCTCGTCGCTAGAAGCGTCGACGCAATCGTCTTGAAAAGATGAAGCGGAAGCATCGGTGCAACTGTCGCCGCGCGTGGGCGTGCAGGTGAGCTTCGCCATGCGTACGAGCTTCAGCTGACGCTTTCTTGAACCGAACGTGTGCCGAGTCTTGAACTTCGAAATGCCCATCGTGACCGTCAGCGCAACAATCCGCGTCCCGTGAACACGGCGGAAGATCGTCTCGTGAGGACGGTAGTGATCGTCTCGTAAAGACGGTAGGAGATCGTCTCGTGAAGACGGTAGAAGATCGTCTCGTGAAGACGGTGAAAGATAGAGGAGCACGTGTGACGACCGATCGGAATGATAGCAAACGGGGCACACAAAGAACGCCGGCGCATGCTGGAGAAGCAGCTACGTCATCGCGCGCAGCAGCCAATAGGAGCCGCGCGTTCCCCCATTCCCTCGAGAGGCGCGCGTTTTGTCCAATCGCGGCTTCGCATCCAGGCAGCGGGACATTCGAAAGCTTCCGCGAGCCCCCCAATCGTGAGCGACTCCCGCCTCGGAGCGCCACCGCCACTGCCGCGGGTGGCGAAAAAAAAAAGCGCAAGAATTCACGAGCAAAACAACATCAAGATGGCGGCGATCGGCCGAGCGGTTGGGAAATGGCGAGCGCGCGAAGTTGGGGTATTTTTGGCGCTCGCTCGCCGCTTGCCGGCTGCCGCGGCATGTTATAAAATTTATTTGACGTACTTTCGCGATGAATTAGACATTGATATTTACAGTAGAGGCAGTTTATGAGTCATACTGCCCGAGTATGTGGTTTTCAAAAAATCGACTTTTTCGCGATTTTTTGGTTTTCAAAGGGCGCGTCCCCCCTTAAGCGTTTTGTTTGAATAGTCGGGAGTGTCTAGCGGTACATCTAGACATAACGATAAAAGCAGTTAAAATTACGTCCAAACAAAAACGTGAACAAAAATGTTAGTTAGGTTTAGCGTGACAACAATACAAAACCGGCTTGTTTGCCATCTCAAACTGATCGGCAGCTGTGGCGTAGTTGGTTAAAGCAACACATCAACTGGTGAGGTCGGTGGTTCAAGTCCCATTGCAGTTATCGATACTTCCTCTTATTTTTTTTGTTCACGCATGTATTGTTTCAACATTTGCGCCTCCTCATCAGCCTGACTTGCTGCTGGTGGTGGTCCCGTCCACAGGCCCTTTAATATTGGATCTTCGATGACTCTTGCAGGATTGACTATATTTATTATGATAAAGTGTTTTGCGAATTAGTGCTCTTAATCGGCGAGACGCAAAAGGACACAAAAAACTCTAATGCAGCTGGCTGCATTGGTTTCTTCGGCACAGGTGTCAGGAGTGTTGATTTCCACGGTTTATCAAAGTTTCGATGACAGAAAGGTGCACTGCAACGTAGTCTCGGGCAACTTTTTTTATGTCGCTCAGTGTACCATCACCTGACGAGGTAACCGGCAGGCCGCTTTCTTTGAAAATACTGACGTGTCACCGCAACGTTCTAGGTGATCAGCACTTGATAAACAATGCCCAAGGGCAAGTGCCGACGGCGTTAGCCCATCTAACTACAAAACGGCTTGTCTGCCTTGCTCAATAACACGCACAGCCTGTGACAGCACGGGAGCATTCACGTAGCAACGGATGAGAACGGCCGTACGTGTTCGCACTTGACAAAACAGATGGCAATGCAGTAGCTCTGGCCTTTGTAGATCACAGGCTTCGTAAGAACATTACAATAAAGTTGTTTCCATCCACCGTATGAACACTTCGCCGACGCACTGGAGTGTCATGCATGTGCGTCCGGTCAGTCACACGTGAACTGTGCGAAAGCATTTATTTTATCGTCGACCTTGTCCTTCGCGACAAGCAAAACTCGGTAGTAAGAACACTTTCACCTTTGACAACACCACGCTTGGCATTTCAATGTAGAAAATGCTGTATGTCCAATAACTGTAATCCGCACATCATACTGAGAAACTTTGTGGCGCACACACTCAGATGAAGCTGCGGTGCGGTGGACGGCCGCGCTAGCTCCAACCACCAGGTTCAACTAAGCATCCAGCAATCACATGAAGCAGCGACGACTCTCCAGCCCTCCTTGGGAGTGGCCTAGGCCTTGGCCACGATTTCATCGGATTTTTCACCACCTAACACATCGCAGGTGGCTACCATCTCGCAGTGTTTACCTTTCGCAGCCGCAGCTCCCATGGCGCCCCCTGTATTTAAAATACTTGTAATATGTATTTAAATAACAAACCTAAGCTAATTGACTCGTTAAACACCTGCTTAGTAAAATTTTTGTAGGTTTAACGCATTACACACGAATAGTTTACACATTTAACTAGTTTTAGGTAATAATTTTTAAAGTGACGTCACTTCCGTGCAGGGCAGGAGCCACTTTTGTGTGGGGCTGGCTGCTTTGCCGCGCGGCGCAGGAGACGCTGCCAAAAATAAAATCTTAAAAATATCAAAGTATTGCAGCACACCCTTACCTTGGCGAATGCGCAACACAAGCAGCTGCACTGTGGTGACATTTTTTTTATTTGAACACTAATCTTATGTAGTAAAACAAAAAAAAAAGTTCGAGGGAGTTTTGGTCCTTCTACATCGCAGTTTGGAAAAGTCGGAGCGATTTGGGCATTTCTTGTGAAAATTGTACGGTGCTGTGGGTTTCTATTTTCATTTTCACGCCACCAGTAGTTAATTAATAAAAGTTTACTTATAAGCTAAACAAGTTTTTGTGTTTTTGTTTAAACATTTTAATAAGTTGTGATACGTTATACATCGTTGTTTGTACGTGTATGTGAGAGACCATGTTCGTGCTGTTTCTGCTTTCGTTGCTCGAATGAGCGCTTTCTATAGAGTTGTATGGTGCTTCCCTGATTTAATGGGCAAATGACTTCGAGGCCTCCGAAATTGACAGAAAAGCATTTCGACCTTGCCATTTGAGTCGATCAACAATCGATTGGAAGGCCTTCCAGACGTGTATTCATGCGTCTTTTGTATCTGTGTTTCCATCTCTTGTTCCCACGCTCATATCTGTGTGGCACAGATACAAGTACAATGTGTAGATCTAGTGCACTTGCTGCTTGCAGACACGTCCTTACAACATGCTTAAAAAAGTCACAGCTTTGCCGCAAAGGCGAAGTAATGAATGCGATAGCAACAACTTGGAAGGTCACGCACAGAATGGCAACCAGGTGGAAACGTGCCCCGCGTTTCTCATGCACAAATGACGCACGAAACGTACTCACAGGTACAGATGGACGCGAATAAGCGTCTCAGTTGTTACTTCGCTGTGTCTGAAAAGCGCGCCTATTTGTAAACGGATACTGTGCAATGAGTGCAGTGATCTTTGTGCGCCCAGTAACTACAACAAAATTGTTCCGGGGAAAGCCCAAGGCGTACGATTGTCCCCACCACGAGATAAATGAGCGCAAGCGTGACCGTCAACCCTGCCCCCTCTCAGCGGGGCAAAGTATGCGTGAGAGATGAGAGCGCGCATGCCACATGTGGCGATCTGGTTATGTGCGCTCCTCGCGCCATCGCGCTGGTAGTGCTTTAAACACATTAGTTCCCTCCCCCGAAAGGCCAGTCACCAGCGGTAAGTGGTAAATATGAATAGCTCTCCGTTTGAACGATAAAAGAGGTGCTCCTTCGTGGCTCAGTGGCTGATATCTCGCACTCGCAATTCAGAGGTCCGACATTCGATTTCCTGTGACAGTCTTTTTATAGATTATTTTTATTTCTTGCATTTTTATATATATGTGACACTAAGATGTCTGGGAGACGTAGCCTGGCTCATACATCATGTTTATTCTATTCTGATCTCTTCTTCCTCCTCGGCTTCTACCAACCATCGCTACCTTCTTACGACATATATAGAGGGTGAATGGTGGCGACGCCGACAGCAAAATCCAGCCGAGAGTGTCTATGTAATTGCTATCGCAATAAAAAGAGCGTAAAAAAAAGAAGACAAAATATTGGCCCGAGAAGAGAGCAGGCACTTGAGATGCAGTTTGCGATATATATGCCTGGAATGGACGTTTTGTACCGCTTAAGTTATTAGACCCTTTTCTATTCCTGTATGCCAGTGAAAACACATTTATTCTACACTGCACTGTCCAGTCGCATATTGCTTGCATGTTCATATGTACTATCTCGCATAATCAATGAGTGTTTTCTGAACCAGCTAACCACCTTGCTCTGAGAGAGGTATTATTGTGATAGTACACCGTATTTGCTTGTGTATCACCCAAAAGCATTTTTTTAATTGGGTGCAAAGTAAAAAAAAGTAAAAGGTGATTTCATGGCAGTGCTTCACAACTGTTCAAGCAGGCTATCTTAAGGGGAGATGGGGGTCGAAAAATGCGAGTTTTTTTCAAAATTACCGATTTTTTTTTTTGCGCCTGTTTTGACAAGATTAGTACCTCTACTGTTATGAAAAAAATATTACAGGGCGAGGCTTTCATTGGAAATGCTTTAAAATTTCATCTAAAGAGCACAAGGTGCCAGTTAAAAGGCCGAAAATGTGCATTCTTCGAGCACCTTGCCGCCAATAATGCGCCGCCGCTAGCCATTGTTGATCGCATGAGTAGAAGAGTCGAGCCTCACTCTTCAAATAACAACAGTTTCTCTTGCTGATGCAGCGCAAGAAATAATATAAAGAATCACTCTTCTGTGCGTTTTTCGAGCGCCGCGACTGGCTTATCACATAGTATGAATCGGGGACCGCCATTGGCCGCTGCGCGCCTGTATGTGCTGTGATCCACGTCTTGGGGTTCATGTCTTGGGGTCCAGACATGCACCCCACGCCTAGGGTCCATGTCTTGTTGAGCAGCGCAGCTGAACAATGCTTTTCTCGTGTAATTATCTCCGTTATGAATGAAAAAAGGCATTGCTCGCAAGTGTAATCCGTTGTGCGGTGCGCTCTCCAGGAATAGGCTACGAGCAGCTGGTCCGATTTGCGGCAGTTGTTGGCTTGCAAAAACCAATGCATCAGAGTCATTCACCACCGTCAGCCGGAAAGTTTGTGATGCGGCAATGGATGACGTCAGCACCAATCTTGAGAGGTCGAAAGAGCTCGCAGTGAGAGTACTTAGCAGGGACGACATTGCCATTATGTATGACACTATGTGGCACAAATATAGCTGCAAAATGCCATTACACTGGACTTAGTTTGAATTTCGCAGTCCTGTCGAACTTCTTCCTAGCTTGCAGTTGGCACAAGGCTCTGCCAGATGGAGCGGAAGTTTGGCAAGCGTTTCATGGCCCTGTCTGTGAGTGAAATGTCTGTGAAAAGTCGGCTCAAAAACGCAGAGAGAGAAAAACTCGTGGTGCTGGCGTATTTTAGTCGCAGTGGCCACTACAAGAAGGATTGTTCTTTTTGGTGTGCAAATTTCATCTGATTTAATATTATCTTTCATAAATAAAAACTCAATTTTAACTTTAAAACTCGTTTTTTTTTTTTTTTCAAAACACAAATTTTGCCATTTCTTCCAATGTGCACCTCCTTTTTCGGGCATTTCTAGTGCTCGGATCTGCATGAAATTTTGCCCAAATTTTTTCCAGAGTATGAAAAAATGCAATTATCTAGTTTAAATTTCAACATTTTATTGTATAATAAAAAAATTGTATGTATACCTTTACTAGGGCAGGTGAAATATAGACTTTTTACGTCTATTATTTTTCACGCGTATTACATATTTTGTATGTGCTTTCAAATTAGTTATTTGCATTCTAGACTTTATTTGAAGCATTGTGAACTATGGTAAAAAATTACAGCATTTTAGGGATGAAAAGAGTGGGGGGGGGGGGGGGCAAAAGGGTTAAGGTTTTCACTTTGTCATGTTGCAGAGCTAAAAGCGTGTAACTTGCAAGAAAACTAATTAAATATTTGAAATCAACATAAAGAGTTCCATAAACAGCTCAAGTTTCGTTCCTCTGAGGTGAATACAATGAAAAAGTGTCTTCGAGTAGCATCTCCCCTTAATGGCAATATGCGGTAATCGTATTCAGAAAATTTTCCGCAAATGGTTGTTGAGTTCAAGGTGTGGATTACGCACTAAAAAATAGTGCGTATAAAATTGATAGCCTCAAAATATATACCCTAAGGGTGGCGAACTACTGTACATAACCGATGCTTCCTTGCAGGGATTGGGAGACACGGCCCGAACGTTAGTGAAGGCGGCCTCGCAGGAGCACCGCCAGAAGGGAGTCAGTGGGGCTGTGGGGGGTCTGCTGCGCCAGCTGCCGCCCTCCATGGCCGCCGGCATCATCGTCGCCACCGAGGCGACCTCGACGGTGCTGGGTGGCGTGCGCAACCAGATTCAGCCCGACGCGCGGCGCGAGGACATTCAGAAGTGGCGGCAACGTCAGCCACCCAAGTCGACGGGAGCCACGTCCACGACGTCGGCTTTGGCGCTAGCTGCCGGTCGGTGGTGATGCCTCTTTGTCTGAGTGTTCCCCCACCCCTCCCTACTTGGTATGTGTTAACGTCGTTGCATCATGCTACCAGCATGCAACAGCAGTCACAAAATGTGGGTGCTTTAAAGGAGCAGTGACACCAAATTTCAAGCTCGAGTTGTGGCATTGATTTGATTGCTTGGTATGCATAAGCTTTTTTTAACAAAATAGGAATGGCATGTGTTAAATAGAAGTTATTTTATTTCGAGCGCAAAGAGCATCCAAAGGCTTGATGGCGCATTCCCGGCTATGAGACGTCAACATTATTTTGACGTATTCAACTAGCTCCTAGGCTATGCCTCAGGCGCTGAGTGACATTGAGCAAGCAGTAATGACGTCGACTATTTTAGTCTTGTCAATGCGGTGTCTACTTGCGGTACCGTCTGATGGCAACACATGGCTGCTTAGCAAAGGCTTCACTTGCTTTGTTTTGCTTGGTCCATGCAGTGCGTTCGCGTGAATCCTGTGTTTTTGTTGTGCCGTGTTGGGTGATTCTTTGTGGAGTCGGGCGTGCGAATGTGACTATTTAAAGCTGTGGTCATCACAAACAGTTGACACGCACACAGCGTTCATCTGTCCCACTAGTCAGTGTGGCCCAGGCGTTCCTCTCCAGATGCCTCGTCGCTGCTCAGTCTGGTGTCAATTTCAGAATAACTGCTCATAGTAAAAGGATTGAATCAAAAATGTTTTGCCACGCCCCAAATCGCCACGATTCCATATTCCTCAGTGTTTTCAACATCACTTGTGGATGGTGATGGTGGGGACAACAATGAGGTGAGAAAGACATGCTCATAGTACAAGTACGCAGCGAGAAGATGAACTGTCAATTGAAACTCTCGTCATCATTTCATATGGCCACGTGATCAGATGTGGAGGGATCGCGGGGGGTGACTACTTGGCAGCGCTGAAAATTAGTGGGCTTTGCACCCGTTTTGAACTCTGTTCGATGCTGGCTGGATTTCAACTCTCTGTTGCATGATGATAGCGGGCACTATCTCGCGCCATCTCTTAAGCATCAAGCATACTATTGCACGGAGATTCAATCCAAGCCAAGCCGAAGTGGCGAGTGCGCATTACGGCGTGTTTTGTATGTTGTGTCGGTAATCTCGGCACGTTATGGGGCGATACAGAAGCCACACGGCTGCTTCAAGTTGCAAGTGATAGATCATGCACTAAACAACGGCAACAGGCCCCCGCTAGGCCCTTCGGAGCGTACGAGTTTTGTGTTCGCTACTGGTGACGGCAGCTGAAAGCCACCAAACCGCGTTGGGCCTGCTGTGTGCCTAAAACTGGGATTGATGGTAAACTTTATTTCTTCAGAAGGAAACTGCGGACGATTCTGTTAAATAGCTATCAGCCCAATACTGACGTCCTACGCTTACCTTTTGAGGGCTCCTGTTGAGCGCCGACCGCTACCGCTACACCCGCAACGCCCACAAGCTTCGCGTATGGTATTCTAATTCTCGACTATTTGCTTCCACTTTCTGTGTCTCAAATAAATCTTGCCTTGTGTTGAACCTCTGCTTTTATTGTTGAGGTAAGCTCTAATTAATACTTCTTAAAGCTTGCTGTAAGTTGCTGGCATGGGAATCCCGATTTGCGGCCACTTTGTTTTCTTTTTCGCTCTCTGCGTTTTCGTGGAAAACTTTCCCCGCGTAATTCTCGCACCCCCCAACTTTGCATCAGTTTTCTGGCAAAAAAGGTGCGAGGATTATGCGAGTAATACTCCTGTCACACGGGCACTTAAAAGTCTTTTAAGTAAGCGGTCTTTTTCCGAAAAGGAGTTCCTGACAGCAGACACACGGTACAGAGCGAACTTCTTTTCAGAAGCGGTCTTTTTCGTAAACGGAGTTCGTCGATCTCTTTTACGGCTCCGAATGAGTAGCCTCGAAACCAGTAAGCGCCAGCAATTTTCGGGTGGTGGGAAAAAAAAGAGCGAATGCTTACTTTTCTGTCACCAAAACTCTTTGTAAAAACAAATTTCATATCCTGCAGAAGGTGTAATGAACTCTTTTAATGGTTATTTCCTTTTCTACTCTCGTAAGCAGCTACAACGCGTCGGCAATATCGCGTGGTGACGCTCGGTCTCGCGCCGCGCCATTTTGCACAAGCGAGGAAAGCGTGGCAGTCGTGTGTTTGCCCGTCATTTAAGTGGTCAAGCTTGTATAGGGCAATGCCGACTCGCTTTTCAGGAGTGATGGTTTGTTTCACGCATGCTGGTGCACTGTCTTTCGAGCTCACTGCGCAAGCTCTCCACAATGAAACGAAAGGTGGACGGGTACACTCGAAAAGATTGCTTGAAGTTCTGCTCACCGAGGTGAGGTACAGTACCCTCGAACCACCTCTCGTTTCGTCTGAAGGCCCAGATCGATCGATCGCAGGCCTTCTCCGACAGCTCCAGCGCGCACAGCAAGGAATTACTAAACAGCAGTTGCTGCTTGATCCTCTCCTTGGCGGCTTTTGCAGCGTCTGCCTCGCTTTCCAGAGCGAGAAGGCAGGCCGTGAGGCTTGCGATCCTCGCTTTTTCTTCCGTACGGTCGCCCATAACGTGTCGAGAGCAGTCGAGAGCAGCGAGAAACAAATACGGTAAATAAAAGCCCAGTGGTGCCAGACGGACTTGTGTACGTCGCTAGTTATGGGAATGCTTCCTTAACTAGTGCAACAAACTTTCACATTGGTGTTTCTTCATCTCTTATTCTTAAATTTATTTGAAAAAACGAGCAGTGCAACAAGTCTTTAATTTGTACATCGTGATACATCGTTTAATTTTTCACTTGCTGTCTCTTTTACCTGGGCTAGCGCCATGCTTTCCCTAGCGTCTTCGAAACGAAAACACTAAAAAGAGATCGTTGCTGCCTGTGGTTCTACTCCGCAACACCTCTTTGTTAAAAGTCTTTCACTTCATAAAAAGACCGCTTGACTTAAGACTTATTTGCGCGCCCGTGTGACACAGGCATCCACTGGTTTACCGAATCAATTTCACTGGCACAATGAGTGCCTTCGTCGTGAAACGGCGTCTGCTCTAACTACCGGGTCTTCCACGCAACGTGTTGGGAGTACTCCAGGCAGAGTAAGCTTCACCACTGGGGCGACGCGTCACAGTCCCTCGAAGCCCACCTGTACCCTGTTTAGCTACCGGTGGGAGGCCGGCCAGCACTGGGTATCGAACCCCGCACCTCCAGTAGCTGAAGCGAACGCGTACGTGCAATGCCACAGCTACGGTTGTCTGCACTAACTGACGACCAGAAAAACGAAAAGGGTGGCCCGAGCTTCATTATTAAGTTTTGGTGCACTTGTAAATGGACACATGGTGAACGTAACTCTCGGTACATGAACGACTATTACCTGTATCAATGAAGTCGTGTTGAAAAAACTCAAGCTGCAACTGCTCAAGGATCCATGCATTAGTGCCAAACAAGTCACCTCAACCACAAAAACTTTAAGCCGCGTACACACATAGTTGGAAATAAGGAAGATAAAGCGTGCAGTCCAAGTACACGTTCTGCCAGGCATGAAGACTGAATTCTTGCTAGGCCTGGACAACGCCTCCTTTTTCAACCTGTCACTGCAATTCAACACAATGACTTTGCTTCAAGACAACAAAGCTCTGCAGAATTCCTTTGAAACTCAAAAGCGTATCTTCAGCGCTGCTACAATCCCACTCCAAGTCGTTGATGACACGCACTTTCCCCCATCGCAACAAGCTGCGATGAGAGAGGTGCTTCACAGTTACGAGGACATTTTCTCAAATTCCAAGATAGACTTTGGATGTATCGTGAATGAATGACATTGCATTGGCCTCAGCAACAACTCCCAATCCAAAAACCACCCTATCGATGCTCCCCGGCAGACAAAGAGGAAATTGTCAGGCAAGTGAACTTACTTCTCAAGCAAGGTGTAGTGCGTCCATCCTTTTCCCCATATGCCCTTCCCGTCATTCTTGCAGGAAAAAATCCGAGCGGTGTACGATTTACAAGTGACCTTTAGGCCTGTCCAACATTCACTAATAGTGATTTCGTAGATAATTCGATAGATTGTATGTATCACATGTTATAAGGCAAATGGATGCATCTGTCAAAAACTAACCTGCACAAATATATATATGTATATTATAACTCATCCCCTGATGAAGGAGGACCCCTCCGAAACTGTTGGAAATAAATTATATTTATCCTTGTTGACAACGCTCCCGTTGTGCATATCCCATACGTTATATATATATATATAATATTTATATATATCATATATATATATTATATATATATATATTATGAGGAAGAGCTTTATTCGAGGCGAGCTCGAGCTGTCACACACTGATGATGATATCTACAGATGAGGCAATTATACAAATGATGATGACACGTCCAATCGATAAAGAAGAGTCGGTGACTGCGCTCACACTAATTCCCCGTCACGCTGGAAGCGGCCTCCTGGCCGCGCGAGAGACAATATTAGGAATTGCGTCGGGTGTACAGCTTCAGCCGAGAAACGCGCACAATTTCTGTCCCACGGCAACGGTGGTCGGAGGGAGCGTTAAGTGGTGAGATACGGTAATTAACGGGGGACGTTTGTTCAATCACCGTATAAGGCCCTATAAAACGACTGAGGAATTTTTCACATAAGCCGGGCACACGCACGGGAGTCCACAGAAGAACTTCGTCTCCTGGGGAAAAGGTGACAGCACGGTGTGTTGAGTCGTAGCGAGACTTGCGAGCTTCCTGAGAGATGCCGGTGTCGATTCGGGCCAGATGACGGCAGTGCTCGAGGCGAGACAAAAATTGTGTGGATAAAGGGCTTGCTGAGGTAGCAGTAGCCGAAAGGAAGGAGACGTCCAGAGTTACACTTGGAGAGCGGCCATGGACCAGAAAATAGGGAGAAAAGCCGGTAGTGCGTTGCGTAGCTGTATTGTAGGCGAACGTTACAAATGGCAAAATGGCGTCCCAGTTCGTGTGGTCAGGGTTAACGTAC